GACCTCTTACGATCCTCGGACCTCTTACGAAGGATCCTATGATATATAGATATGAATCGTACCTTACAATAGGTACGTAGGAATGGTATGATCCTTCATTCCTTTCTTCGGAGCTTCGTATCGTATTGTACGTATCTCTCTAATACAGTACGTACGTATCCCTCTAATACAGTACGTACGTATCCGTTGCATCTTTACAACGATGTGCACATTACTGGGTGTTTCTTTTCGAAAACCTTTTTGGGCTTGTTGATTTCTCTCCCCACCGAAAATTTTTGCTATATTTTTGCTGTATTTCAGCTGCAAAATGAGCAATAACAACAACACCAGCTGCAAAAGCACCACAGCAGCCATTGGATAAGTTTGGAATGGGTGCGCAGTTGCTCTGTGTCCTAGGACTCTTGCTGCTGGTATGAACCTATTCAATATGAGGAGTCAGGGGTTGCAGTGCACTGTGAAAGGAGCCATGGAATTTTCAGGATTCTCAAATGAGGAGGCAAGCAACAAAACACTGCAAAGAAGAGTACAAAGATGCTCTGAAAGAATTAAGGCGCCGCCCTGTGAGTATGTTGCCCCACCATTGCCACCAACAAAGGTCTCCAGTATCACCACAGAGGAGGAGGAAGAAGAAAGAACCCCCCCCCCCTTGTCTGATATTACAAACAATAACAACAACAAGCCAAGGAAAAAAATTCTGGAGAAGGAGAAGAAGAAGCCAAAAAGGGATAAGCAGAAAAGGGATACAGCTTCATAGTTGCATGCAAGACTAAAGAAGGATTACCAGGAGGCTGAGGTTGAAAGGAAGGCCTACATGGCGGTAATTTTGAAGGTAAAGCACCAATGAGCAAATTTGCCAAAGCAACTGCATACATCCATTGCAAAAATTGTGAGAAAGACGAACATGATTTATCAGGCTAATCTAAAAGCAGATACAGTGCAGAGACGGCTTTGCTTGGGCTCGGAAGAAACCCCCTTGAAAAGGGGCAAAGGGCAGTTCTTCCTGAAAAGATTGAAACAGCTTTTATTAATGCAATGACTTCTTTTGTGAATCTCAGCTGTTCAGATGTGAACATTCAACCTCTATGCCCAGAACTACTCCAAATGCTACTTGCATGCCTCAGGAGTGGACCAATGGTACTGCAAGACCAGCATTCACTGTTCAAACGATTGTACAAAGTGGTTTGCGATAAAGTTAAAATTGTGACTGGTAATTCAAAGATGGAAGAGCAGCATGCCCAGTGGACAACGTATAATAAGGTTAACACCTTCTTTGATTCACTTCATAATTTTCAAAACAATTTTTTTGTTTCATCTTCTGCACGAGATTACGTGTACTCTTAGTATGTTTTAAGTGTGTATGAAAATTGTATTATAAGATTAAGATTCTCGCGCTTCGACTTGAGCTTTCAGTAGCTCTGAYTAGATCCTGTGTAGCTCTCGGTACTAAATCTACACAGGGTTCTTATTATTCTGATCTACTGACATCTTTGTTCCGTGCGAGGTAATCTATTTCTGATATCATGGACCTCTTACGATCCTTGGACCTCTTACGTGTTCGGTCCTCTTATGATGCATCCTATGATACATACATAGGAAACGTACCTTATGATAGGTACGTAGGAATGATATGATCTTTCATTCCTTTCTTCGGAGCTTTGTATCGTATGTANGTAGGAATGGTATGCTCTTCCATTCCGAGGGAGCATCGTATGTACGTATGCTTCCTTTTATACGTGCGTACGTATACTTTCGATATTGTACGTACGTATCCATTGCAGTTGAAGTCACAGAAGACAGGGTGGGTGTTAACAGCTATTGAGGAATGGGTAATAAATTTGAGTCTAAATGTGTTCTGTAATATTGACAAGTATCTGAACTTTTAATCTTTTCCTCCAGATCCTTCCAAACTCAAGGGTGTTTGATCTTGCCACATTTATCTATATTTATAACTTTCATTAGTCAAGGATATTACTTCAGTGCTTCGTCCTATTGCGACCATAACATAGAACGCAAAATCTACAATTATCAGGTTACAGTATTCGTGTTAAACATAATAGTGCAGTAGAGGTAAATCTTCTTTTTTGAGTTCCCCAAAAGCTCAGCAGTCAACAAAATCTCTTTCAGCATGCGTGTTTGCAGGATTACTACGGTAGGAGGAAAATCTGCTCTCTGTTAGCCATTCCCTCCGCAAAACTCTATAAACCGGTTTCAAACCCTTTTCCTAAAGCCTAGTCAATTGTTGTCGTCATCGTCTCCCGGCTCTTTTCCTTCTTCCACCAAGAATTCTTTCAATTCATTCCACAAATTCTCACGATCCCCCCCTTCGACAGCTCCATTGAGCTTCGCCGACACTACGGTGTTGTCCCCCGCGTACCATAGTGAACAAACGTGCGTGTCGGTAGCAGGTGTCGTCGTTGTTGCTTCTGTAATTGTTGTCGTTTCTTTGTCTTCGCCGGCTCCTGGAAGCTTCAGGGCATGTGGATCCGTCAACCACACGGGGGGACCGTCTCTGAGCAATCGTCGGAGTTCCGCCTGGCAATTCGTTGTCTTGACGCGTTCTAGATAGGCTCCGAACTGAGTTTTCAGGAGGTGCTCGACCGTCGATCGCTCGTAGCCGCAGGGATGCCACGTGAGACTGGGATAGGTTTGATATTCGACTGGGGAATTAAGTAATTTTAGAACATGAAGAAAACGGGCGAAAGCAAAAGGAATATCAGATCGTACATCACGTTGCACGTTATTGCGGAGCCGAACAGATTTGGTGGCGGATGGATAATTTACAGGGTTTGACGGATGAACGAGAAGATTCATTGCGAAGCAGGGTTAGGTCTGACGCAGTTGTGCGAAGATAGAGATACCACAACGGCAGACACGATTATTGTGTTCGTCGAATAACCAGAGCGCTAGTTCGCATCGAAAGACGAAGATTGCGTATTATGTCTACCACACGGAATGTTGCGAAAGCTTGTGTGCATGGGTGGCACAACAGTTGTAGCCAATAACTGAATTCAACAGAAGACATTACGTTGACCTTCACTCGCGAACATATTTTATCTTCAAACACATCTCTCGGCACGCACCATAATTTCCATTTTCTTCGGTTATATCCTCCATAGTGCACAAGCAGCACATTCCCTCGGTTGGTTTCCCGTGAATAGGAGTCGTCATTTTGCCTATTTCGTGCACTCCCAACAGGAAAATGACCGCTTGATAAAGAAAGGGAGAGCTTAACCTATCGTCACACCAAGCCTTGCGCTTTACGACCAATTCTGTATTCGTTTAAATTTTAAATTTAAATTTTACAAATTCTTGAGAGCCCCTGTTCACGCGTTTTTTATACCACGCCATTCACAAAACATTACTGCTGATACTGTATGCGCAAAATGCAACTCAAAGTGCAGTTGTTCCTAACTGCTCTTAGCCTGAGTGATTGTAGCCTTGTCTTTCCTTCTTCCGTATTGCTCTTGCTGGACTGGACACCGGACGTGGGAAGTTCTGGGCCTCTTGGTACTGTGGTACCATATGGTTGTACTCCTGGGGTCTAGGATTCTACAGATATAAGTGGTCAGTTATTCAACCTTTTGTAGTGTTTGCTGAAATTAGGATTTGACTCATGTGATTAGGTCTATGAGTAGGGAAATGTGTAATGGTCTTGGGGTTTTGAGGCGGCGTCTTTGACACTGTTGACCCATTACTGTTTTGCGACTGGTTTTTCTCCATTGTAACATCTACTTGTTTGGTGGTAGGCCCATTGTGTTCATCATCTCTGTGGGAAGGTGGGGTGTCAGCCCTAGTTCTTGGTATCATAGGGGTTGGAGGTGTCGCTGCCCAAGCAGTCTTGTCCGGGAGTTTGTATGCTGCAATGATGCAGAGTCCTTTAGGGTTCTCGGACTGGCAGGGCTGGGTTCTGTGACAGACTGGGAACAGTTTGCTGCCCAGTTTCTGCTGCTTGAGGGCATTGTTTTTGCCGGGGTGCATGAGGTAGTAGTATTTTACCATGTCACTGATGTGGTACCTGTATTGGATTCTGCTGGTGGTGGGTACGTCTCTGCACCGCACAATGACTAGGAGGTGGCAAGGTGTGTAGTATAAGGCCACTGTGGTGTGGTGACGGATGTCTTGGGTGATAGGGGATTCCGGGCAGTTGTTCTTGTTCGTTGCTAGGAAAGCGATTTCCAAGAGTACTGGGTTGACGAGGCAATTGGCTTCCTTGGTAGGTAGTTCTCCTCGCCAGGTGTAGTAATTTGGGACCAGGAACATCTGGAAGGAGTGGATAGGGAGGGGGTGGAGTTGGAATTCATTGTTCCAGATGGTGGGGAATGGTGGTGGTTGGGTGGCACGTGGTGCCACGCAGTGGTCAAAGTTGTTCCGCGGTGCGGTTGGTGGTGTTTCCCAGACACCAGGTGGCGAGGGCCATGCATTTGTTCCATGGGTATGTCCATTCGTCAAAGATGGTGAGGGGGCGTTGTTGTGGTCCGTGGAAGTACGTGTTGTATGTGTCTTTGAAGTTCTGTGCCGTGTAAATCAGGAGGGTGGATCCTTGAGATTCAAGTGCAATGTGTTTGCACCTGGTGGGGATTGCTTGATAGAGGCCTGTGCGGCAACGTTGGTGGTCAGGGCTGCCTTGGGTGCTGCTGACTGGGGAGGCGTTGTTGTGTGGGGGTGCTCCGGCGGCAGCTTTGCCAGTGTTGTTTGCTCTGGCGGTGTCTTAGGCAGCATTGTTAGCGCTGGTAGAATACGAACTGGGGGGGGGGTGCTGCCAAGGTGGCCTCTAGCATCGCTACATGATCCGCTGAAGTTGGTTTTGTCTCATGGCTTCGATGGCAGGGGGGTGAGTCATAGCTGCTGAAGAAGTGGAAACGTATGCAGTCGGTTGGGTTGATGCCAAGGCGTGTAGCAAAGGCGGCGGCCTTGGAGCAGTGTGTTGGTGCACATACAGAGGCAATGGTTGGGAAACATGGGTTAGGATTTTGTGGGTGGCAATGAGCTTCCTGCAAGCTGCTGGGAGGTCCTTTGTGTGTGGGGTGGTTTGGCGGGGGTCGTGGCGGTCCTCAGCACGGCAGTCTGATTGTGAGCGTTTTGCCTGTGTATCGGGGTGGTGGGTTGGTTTGTTTCATTTTGCTAATGATGGGCAGAACATTGATGGTTTGTTGCTTGCTTTGTGGAAAATGCCACTTGCAATGGCATTCCTGAGCATCTTGAGGCTCGGACGTGGTGTGTTGTTGGTGTCTAGGTCCTGTTCTGTTGTTTGGTGTGAGATAAAGGTCTTGGTAGTGAGGGTTAGTTGCCAGAGGATTTTGGATGCGATGTCCCATCGGAAATTGTAGATTTTGCTGAGGGAGGCGTTGTTGGCCTGTAGGATGTTGTGAATTTTGTGGATCTCCTGAGCAGGGGGGCAGTTTGGGGTTAAAAGGGTGTTGAGGACCTGTATTTGGTTGTTGATTACATCAATTACTTTGTATATTGTGCGCGGTACAATTGGTGTGTTTAGTTCAGCTTGGAGGATGTCGGCTGTGCTGATCGTTGTGGCTTCTGTGTTGAGGTGGTGTTGGTGCTCTGCGGCCAATATGTCTCTGGTTGTGCTTGCGACATAGGCCATTGGGCCTAGTCTGGTGCGTCCTTGTGTGGGGGGGGTCCTGGGCAAATCGTAATTTTGCAACTTTTGTTGTCCAGTGGTGGAGTAGGCATCCTCGGAGTTTGGGGAATGCTAATTTCAGAGGTTTGGTGAAGAAATGTTCCACCTTTTCTTTGCACTTCTTATCAGATTTTAGGATTTCTTCCCATGCATTGTGTGTGATAGCGTGAAAGGTGTCGATCTGGGCCAGTGGCATTCCATACCATCCGATGATGTTGAGGAGTTGGATGTTGGTTGGGGAGCGTTGTTGGGGGGCAGCTGGTTTCGGTGCGTTGATTATTGATGTGTACAGGCTCATTTGGTTCAGTTCTGCCTGTCTTGGGGTGGCTGCGATGTTGGCTAGTAGGAGGTGCTGGAGGCGCTTGTGTGCCATGGTGTGGATGTCATCGACCATTGTGTGGATGTTATGGTTGGGGGTGATTTGTGTTGGGGCCTGCAGATGGGGAGTGGTTTCAAACAAGTTTGGTGTTTCCATTGTTTTGTTCTGGGTACGGGGTATGTTGGGGGAGCCAATGAGGTTAATGGGGTTGGTATCTGTGGCAGGTTCTCCTTTGTGTTTGGTTTCAGGTGGTCTGGGTGGGTTTTCTGGGGTGAGGATGTTGTGCGCAATGAGCAGGTCTGTGAATGTTGCTGCTTCATTTTGCCAAAGGTCTTTGAGGTCGTTGGAGATTTGTGTGGACAGTTGTTTAGAGAATGGGAGTGTTGGGGTTGTGCTTTTCAGTAGGAGGTTGCTGGTTGTGGGGTAGTTGTTTTTTTGTGTGCAGGCAGCTAGGAGACACTTTGCTGTTGCAGAGTTTCTGGTAATTGCCTTTTCCTGGATCAGGTGGTTGCATAGTTTGTTTGKGTGGGTTGGTTGTTGATTGTTGCAGTAGAGATCTAAGAGGGATGGGTGGATTTTGTTCAGTAGGTTCTCGTTTTTTGCTTTTGCGGTTGCGTGGGGTTTTAGGAAGGGGATAAGGTCCTGGGTTAGGGTGTGTTGGGTTCCATTAGGTCCATTGGTTTGAGGGCATCTGCGGTCCGCTTTAGTGAGTGCCATGCAGTGCTCAATGGTGAGGATTTTGCAATGGGCTAAGTGCAGGTTGATGACATGGAGGGCGTTGTGGCTGTGACCGAGGGCCATAACTGGGGAGACTCCGTTGTTGTTGAGGATGGCCTGGTAGAGGTGTCCTGGGGTCCATGGATCTTGGTTTTTGGGTGGTGGGTTGGTCTGTTCCTTGAGGATGGTGACGATGGCATCTCAGACGACTGGGGAAAGGGTTGGTATGTTGGTGGTTGTAAGCTTTGGGTTTTGTTTTGTACAAATGTTATTTTGTGAGCATTTGGTGTKGGTTGATTGTTGTGGTGTTGGTTTGTTTAGTTTCGTGTTCGTGGGGTGCCGTGGTGTTGGGGTGGTTGGTTTCGTGGTTTTGTAGTTGAAATTTGTTGGTGTTGGTCAGTTTTTTGGTTTTGTGGCCTAAAGTTGCTCATTTTTGTTGCTTTATTGGGTATTTTGTCCCGTTGACAATTGTTTTTCTGGGGTCTATTTGTTATAGTCGACAGTTTTTCTGGTGTCTATTTGTCGTGGTTGATGTTTTTTTGTGACATGGGGGGGGGTGTCAAGGTGATGGGGTTGGTTGGTGGTTACGGCTTGTGGTGTCTGTCTGTGGTGGTGGTTTGGCAAATTTTGCGTTCTGTTTGGCGATTGTTTCGCTTTTTATTTTTGTTTGTGKGGGGGGCGCTTGGTACACGGTGGGAGTGTTTTGTTGGTTTGTTTTGTGGTTTTGTGGTTGCTAGCCATGTTTATTGGACATGCTATTGGACATGGTGGAGCGTCCTTTGTAGTTGGGCACAATGGTGTGCCTTGTTCGTTGCTGTACGTTCTGTTTGGCAGTGAGTTGTTGCATTTTTACCGGATTCCTTTGGTATTGTGGTGAGGTTGTTCTGAGGCAGAGAGGAGTGTGATGTGTTGGGGTGAATCTTCCTGTTTCACATCATGTCTCATCCTACTGTGGCAGTCCTTCACCGCAATACTTTTGAGAATGAAGTCAAGTCTTGTTGAGGTGCAAGGGTATCGTATTAGTGGGGCAGCCGGCTTCTTGCGGTGCCTGGTTGTCTGGTTCCGTCTTTTGTCTGTCCGTTGTTCCCAATACTCAACAAAAAATTGCATTCTCATTTATTGCCTCCATGCAACCAAAAAACACTACCAAATAGGCCTAGACCCCCAAATACTGGTGTACGGCTGTTATGTACTATGACTTTTTCAACCTTATTGCTTTTTTTTGTGTTCAACATACATAGAAGAAAAGGTATTGAAATTTTATGTATTACTCGTACTCAGTAGCTTGTTTGTTGCATTCATCTCAAACGTTGAAAACACGCATGCAGTGCAATAATACAAGGCATTGTGGAGGTACAAAAGAAAACTTTTAGCAACAACAAGCAACAAGCAACAAGCAACAAGCAACGAGCAACAAGCAACAAGCAACAAGCAACAATCGAAACGCAAAGAACAGCAAATAGCAAACAGAAAAGCAAACAGCAACAGTAACAAAATGACACCAGCACCAGCACCAGATGGACGCGGAGGACGTGGACGCAGACAACCCATAGGATTACGCAGAGGAGCACAAAGAGGAGATT